AATATTCCCCCAGGGGCCATCAGAACAAGCAGCCCCTCCTTCAGGAAATGAGAGGACGTGCCAACCCAGTGGAAATGTATTTATTATCTGTTTGAAGGCTGCTGAAATAACAAAACATCCTTCTTCACAGGTCAACCAGGGCGTGACCAAGCAACCGAGAATATTCTCACATGAGGCAGTGAATGTCATTCAGGCCTGTGCTAAGGAGTACATTGCTAACGGCACTCCCAAGGAAAGAAGGTGGCTACGTGGTCCTATAAAATAAATTAAGTATCAGTGGAAAACTTTCCTGGACCTAACTTCATGCAGGAAATCTGCTGGAAGCTGGCCTTGGAGCCAACTGCGTTCAGAGCTCCTGTGTCAGGGCAAATGCTTTGCTGCAGTTTCATTGTGTCTGGAAACCTCTCCACTCGGGTTCAGAAAATTAAAGACGGGCTGCAGGAGAACAACTACTCAGCTCAGGGGAGATGGAAAGCTTCCTTTCTCAAGCCTGCAGGAAATCTGAGGATTGAAAACTGTCATCACTGTCTCTCCCTTCCCCAGGCAGAGATCTGCATTCTAAAAACTGTGCTGGCCCCGAGGCCATCAGAGTTAAGTCAAGTGGGAGCATTTGTCTCTTTCTTTCATCTCTTGGAGTTACATTTTGGATATTATCTCCTAATCATAAATCTCTGTCAGTCCCTGCAGAGAAGAACCCTTCTTTCTAATTTCCTTTGCCCATGCTTTCTTGTTAATGGTGTGTCGTCTTGGTTCTCTATTGAAAGGTTCCTCCTTCCCACTATATCTGAAATAAAATCATACTTGAAAAAGAAGAAGGATTTATGCTTCAGATTATCATATAGATATCTTGCCTGAGACACCATCCTGTAAGCTTGTTCAGACCCAAGACCGGCTTCAAATTGAGGTTCTCAAGTCAGACCACCCCAAAATTCTCAGAACTGTACTCCTCAAGGTGCCCTGCTGGTGCAGGCAGACTATTTTGACCCAAGGGAAATGAAATCCCTGGAGGCTTAGGGGATACTTCTGCCCAAGCCCTTCACTCTTCCCTGTTCAAAAAGAAATGGTCACATCCTAAACTTCTGTACTTCTATTAACCAGTGATACAATCATTGCCCCCTCTTTTGTGACCTAGAAGGCTGTAGTTTTGGGGTCTCATCCAGTGATAGGTCTATCTGCTCCCTGGCTAAGAATCTTATTTTTACTTTCAGAATAAGGATGTGATCACCCCACTTCTCTTTCATGTTAAATCCTACCCTCCTGATGACTGAGATCCCTAAATGCAGGGTAAATAGCGCTAGTCCACTCCATTATTCTTTAGAACATACAACCATATTAATCCTCCCTATGTGTCTTATAATATGTTGACTTTTTCTCCAAATAATCAGCCTGATAGTAATATGCTCATCCAACCTTAGAAGAACCCAGGAGAACTATTAAAGTTTTGGGTGCTGCTTATTTTCCCTGGGACAGCTGCAGAGGACAAGACTTCTGAACAAGCCAATAAGCAAAGCAAAGACTTTTTCCACATCAGACCTTTGATCTCTCTCCCTGCAGAAATCTAAAGGAAACCACGTAGTGATTGGTAAAAGAAAATGCTTAAGTCAGCTTCTTAGTATTGTTCAATTCTTGGCTTTAAAAAATTTTGTTCTTCATGGTGATTAATCAATTGGTTTTTATTTCCCCTAGAGAGGTTTTATTTTGTGTGGCCATGTCTCATTTATGTTACATATTATGTGTTGTTTGATGATGTATTTGACAACTCAAGATTTGGGTGACTAGTTCTTTCTGTCTTGAGATACTGTTCTGTTTTGTCCTATGGGTAGGAAATTTGGTTTCCAAGTTCTTCACCTGTCTCACCAAGTTGTTCTTGGTGAGCTTTGGAAAAGGCTATTTAGAAAATTAACTCCTCAAGGTTGTCTTCCATGGTGTTGATAGAAAGGAAAATCTTAATGTGCACTGACGTAACAGCTAGTACTAAGTAATCTTGGAAGCCAACAGGTTGCTTTGACAGGCATGAGCCAAGCATTTAGAGATGATTTGTCATCTCAAAAGAAATCTCCCATTTCGGGCCTCCCTGGTGGTACAAGGGCTTAAGTCTCAGCACTGTGAAGTTACCTGCAGCCACTGCAGCACGAGTTTGATTCCTGGCCAGGGAGGTGACCCACATGGCACAGCAGACCTCTCCTGTCTCTCCTGCTGCTGCCCTCAGCAGTGTATTTCAGTAGATTTACCAGTTCTGCTCCCCACTCTGTCTCTAATGAATCCTCTCATCCCCCGCACCTCTGGCCAACACCCCCATTCTTGAATGCATGAATAAATTTAAAAAAATAGTAATGTTTAAAAATAATTAAAAAAAAAAAAAGAAATCTCCCATGCCAAGATAAGTTGGCCACATGCTGGGGTAGTTAGCACCCACCAACCACGAGAAAGTACCAATGCATCTTGAGGTGCATAAAGATCTGAGGTTTGTTGTTTTACAAACCCCAGATCCCAAGGCTTGTGCCTCCTGGTTATTGTTTTGCATCCAAGAACTCCAAGGTCTTGCTGAAAACTTAATGTGTCTCAAGCTTTTTCTTTGTATATTATGCTGGATCTAAACTTCTGGACTTAGGGATAAGCTGTAAAGAATGCTTCCTAGTGGGTTAAGTGACTATTGTGTTGAAAACCTCCAATTGCTTATTGGTTTTATGAAAAGTCTAGAGAGCTCTCAATCTCAATTCTTGCTCAACAAAGATTGATAAGAAGGGGGAAAAGAGAAAGAAGTAATGTAAGGATATATCTTGACTAGCCTCAGGGAATTTCTTAAAAACACATCTTAACAAAAAGTATGCTCTTTTGAAAATTCTTGTCTCATTACACCCAATAATAGCAAAATATCTCTAAGGTTTTAATGGCCACTAAGGAATTTTCCCCTGTATCCTGACAAGCTCTATCCTAAATGTCCAGTCTCCTGACCTGCTGTAGGAATTTGGACTTTCCAGTGTCAGCCCCCACAGTCATGAACAGCACTCAGTAAGGTTAAATTATTCTCCACAAGTGGCACTTGTTGAATTCGGAGACGGAATATTTTACAAGGTTCCGTACAGCAGTTGTGGCCTGCAGGATACTGGCTACCAGAGGCAGAACCCTGGTACCTAGAGCATCAGAGAGTGCTTTGCTGGTGTGTCCCGATGTTTGAGGCAAGTCCCAGATACCCTTGGGTTTTTCTAGAAGATCATGGCATATCCTGATATGCTTGTTTTTATAATAAAGAGCCAACATCCTTTAAGGAGAGCAAAAAAGCTAGTCAAAAGATTTCCTGCCTGACTTGAAGAACATCAGAACATGAAAAAATTAATTACACAATCCTGTGAACCCCTCAAGTCACTGGTGGTGGAAACCAGTCCTTTACACTGGCACACTCTGTTTGGAATCTCTATCTGCTCTTCACTGAGGATTCAGTAGACATCTTGGGAAAGAACATCATTTCATGGATGAGTGATGATGATAGCAAGAACAGACACAGCCACTGAAGAAGCAGCAACATCCTTCCAATCCCAAGTGACTAATGCAAAAATAATCCCAGTAGCATCTCAGGAGAACATAAAACAATGTCAGAAGAAAGCACAGCTTGAATGAAACCATCCATCTTCACGAAAATCGAAAACTGCTTGCCTAAGAAACTGGACGCAAAGACCCTGGAGCTGAAGAAACAGAAAAATGTACTCGAAAACTCAAGCATCAGTGAAGCAGGTTGATAAGAGATAAATGGTAAGAACACCGGTTAAAATCCCCGACAGAAATACGCTGAAGGTCATCAGCTTTCCTGGAGAGATTACATGCCGCTTGGAATTAGAAGCATGCATAAGAGAGTGGAGACCATCCAGTCTGTCAGTCAGAAAATGATGAGAAAAATGCTCATTGATGCTGTTAATGCTGTTACCATAGATGTTTCTCAAAAGGCTTGAAAGAAAAAAAGGATTCAAAGAGCTATTTGAAGAAAATCCAACGAATGAAAACTAACAGGACAAATTAAAAAAATCTTCTCACAGAATGAGGCTTTCTGCAGGCTGGAAATTCCTTGCTTAAAAGTGAGATCCAGAAGCTTCAGCTGAAATTGCAAATACTGCCTACACCAAGAGCAGCTCATGCAACTCCAGAGAACATCAACCGAGGAGGAATTTCTTCCTTGCACATAGAGAATAAACTTCCAAAAGTGTATGGGAACATGAGCTACACATATCAGAAGGTCAACAGCCAGAGACAAGGATGAAGAATTGCAAAGAAGCGCTTTGCTTCCCCAAAGTTAGATTCTCCTCTGTGGGATACTCGTCACCTGTGTTTCTGCAACTGCTCAGTATCACCCACTAAGATTCACCCCGACTCACATGCCACGACACAGCATGTGTTGTCTGCTGTACATTCATGTCTAGGTGATGTTACCAGGGTTTATTTAGCCACCTTGTTGAAGAGCCCAGGGCTGCTGCCAGGGCTGAGCTCTTGCGCACAATTGTCCGTATTTCTTTACCATCTGCAGGACTCTGGGAACTGGTCGGGACGCCTCCTTTTTTTCAGACGAGGGGAATGACATGGACTTTCTTGACACACTTTCTTCCCATCCAGGTTTTAAAAACACTAATTTCCATCCAAGTGACTTTTCAGGCTGACTATTGGTCCTTAACCTACAAATCATCTCTGTTTACAAAACACCAAAATGACAAGCCATTTGGCCCAATTTAAACTACTGGTTAACTCGGTGGAAAAATAAATCATTCACACATGTTATTTGAACTAAGTAGTCAAATGAGTGCAAACAGTATATGCGAAAGCCCCATAAATCCTCTGCAGTGATAGGATTGATTGCTTTCTCTGATTTGCAGATAAGAAGTTGGTAGTGAAATGCATTCCTGTCCCAGAGGACTCCTCGCTCTTGACTGGAGCAGAGACTCACCCTCAGGCTGCCCGCGGCAGGGATGGTGCAAAGACATGTCCCTCGTGTGTTTCTAAGAATGGAGCGATCATGTCACTGGCGCTACGTTGTCAGGGTTCTTCTCCAACGGCTGCCCCAAAGTCTTACACCGTGGACCTCTCCGAAGCTTCCCTGCTGTTCCTCTGCAACACACACCACTGGACAAGGGTGGTGAGTAAAACTGCACAAGGACATTGCACAGGAAGAGAAGTGAGGACTTAAAATGCTTTCCATAAGATACCACCTTCTCCTCTTCTTATCTAGCAGACTTGACTAACTTTTTTCCAGAGGCACAGAATGGCGAGTGAGGATCTTCATGTTTTGTTCTGTTTACTACATGCTGTGTGAGGGGAGAGCTGGAGGAGGGTGCGTGGGAGTTCGGGAGGAGGGGTGCTTCCAGGAGAAGCACAAGCTTGATTGATTCCAGATGACTTCACCCACCTAGTGTTTCTGTCTCAACCATGTTTGAATAACATCGTCGAAGGTTTCTTACGATATTCTTTTCACTTCCTGTAATTACCCCAAGAACATGTAATGCAACTTCATAGAACTGCAGATTCTTTTCATTTCCTATAATCTCTCTGGAAATCAGGGCTTTCCCAATAGTACCTCTTTCCCAAGAATAGAAGATTCTCTACTATTGATATTTATTTCACTTACTTATTCCACAGATATGTATAGCATTAGAAATATGTGCCAGGTACTTTGCTAGAATCCAGGATAGGATGGGAAAAACATAGACGGAATCCTTGTCCGGAAGAATTTTATTCTCACACTGTGGTAAGTGTCTGAAGATTTCAGGAAGGAGGAGGTGGTGGTTCTTATATATTCTGGGCAGTGTGTGAGAGAAAGAAATTCTTTAGGAGGTAAAGTTCTTTGAGGTGAGATCTGAATGAGGGCAGTTATCTGAAGAAAATGCCTCTCTCTTGCTGCCTCTCTTTCCATGTCTCCTGCCACCTCCTTCATGAAGGATAAAGCTCTGCTGACCACTGGGCTACCCGGCCAGGAGACCGGGATTCCATTTCCAGTCTGATCCATCTATCTAATCAGTTCTTTTCTCTGAGTAACGTGGAGAATATTTTTAAAACATGAAATGCTTGTGTTAATCCATTACTGAAAATCCTTCTGCAGCTTCACATTGGTCTCTAATTAATTCTCCTAACGATGCTCCACAAAACCCTGCGGGTCTCCCCACTACCTATCTTCTGACTTCCCCTCCTGCTATTCTCCATCGCGTCCACAATGCTTAACCACTGCTCTTCTTTCCAAAGTCCCCAGCATGGAACACCCCCACTCTGGGTTTTCATGCAGAGTCTCTACCTGGAATTCCCTTCCTCTTGTTTGCATGATTAAAACTTTCCCATCATTCAGATCTCAGTTAATTGACACCACCTCAGAGCCTCCACCTTCCTCATGCCTGCATTTCCATGTAGTAGCTCATTTAATCCTCATTTAATCCATGTAATTAGCAACCTTAATTATTACCATTTATTCCTTATTTATAGGAGAGCAAACCGAAGTACAGGGAAGTTAAATAACTCATTTAAGAACAGAAATAGTAAATGGCAGGTGCAGGACCCAAGCAATTTTGCATTTGAGTCTGTACTCTTAGCTGGTACACTCAATCACTGCTCAGAAAGTTAACTGCCCTGGCTAATTACACACGCTACCTCTTCAACATCAACTCTTTGCATTAAAATTATCAAATGAGAAAAATAAAGACCAATTTAGAGTGAAGAAACTCAAGTTGTTTGATGAAGTGACATGACAAAGGCTACAATGCAGTTAGAGGAAGAAGTAATTTTTCAAACCAGATCTGTTTGACCCCTAAGCCAAGTTTCTCCAAGATTTCTCAGCTCCCTCCTCTATGTGGATTAAATCCAAGTGGGTCCATCTATCTCCAGAGCAAAGTTTCCAATCAATGATGAATCATAACCACATATGTATGGCATAATCAGCATCGGAGAATTTTAGTTAGGTCATAATTTTTCAATGCAAATTGTGTGTATGCAACAAAACTGAATTAAGTATGACTTTTATGCAAAAATAGTTCCATATTTCTGGCTCCCCCCACATTGATTATTTTTGATGGTAAAAATCCATCCGTTGCAATGACTAATGCCAGCTACTTATTTATAGTTTGGGACACTTACAGGATGGTTTGATGACTATAAAATATGTCTGACCCAATAGCTTGAGATACTAAACAGTGAAAGCAGAGGACCTAGCCACAAATTGCTGAGACTCTAAGCTTTAACTAGGTAAGAATTGAGGAGTCCCCTGGGGGCAGTTTAACAAGACTTGCCATTAGCTAAAACCCTTTCAGCTGTTTTCTCTACTGCTAGAATTTTGCTTTTGTGAATGGAAAGGGAGTAATCTTGGAAAGTGGACTAAGCAACCAGGAATTCTGAATTCACCCATGCATGTCCTTAAGGCCTCTTGAACAGGAATGCCAACTCCTCTGATGCCCATTGCCTCAAGTACTTTGAGACCCTAACTTGATCCAGCTGTAGCAAATTAACCTCCAGTTAGAAAAGTAAACTTCATGCTAATATTCCCTTCAGCCTAGACCCACGCATGGGCAGAGCACCGACTCACATGGTCCCTACGCACCTGCATCTACTACCTTCACGGTGCAATTTATTTTAGAACTAACTCATATTCTGTAGGTTGCTTTAATAATTCTAAATATTTCAACTTGCTGTTCAAATGTTCATAGGTATATACTTAGTTGCTTTAAAATAGTTCCTAGGGGTGTTTGATTACTTTAAAAACCATTTCTCCCAGATAATTATGTATCATTATGATGCTAGATTTCTGTTTGGGCACTGTCTATCCAAAATGATATCCAATACATTAAAAAAGACATTACAAATAAACGACATTAGCCAAATGGGCAGCAATGAAAGATACATTTTTCAGCAGAAATTTCTTAATGGCCTGGATTCCCATCTGCCCAGTGGAATTCTTAGAAGCTACCTAGATGCCTAAAAGTAATACAACAAAAAATAAGTTTTTTCCTTAAACGTATTTCCCTGTAGTCAGTATGCATAAACTGTCTACTAGGACAAAAACTGATGTTTTCCCCAGTTTTCTGCTTTCTTGAGCAGAATAAAGGCTAACTAAGAAAGCTAAGACAAGGGAAGGCAATGCTGATTTTTCTAGATGTGTTTTTCATTTAAAAAACAAGGGTTTTTTTGACAAAGTTTGAGACTATCTCCTTGGAGAAGCTGCCCCTCTATACCCGCTGTTAACATAGAGACAAAACTGCGTATTGTCAACTGAAAAATAACTAACCCACAACCTCAATTAGTTAGAGTGCACAGAGCTAATGAAGATGCACCTCGGAAATGTCCTTGAGGCATTGGCTATAGCACAGCCCAGTCTCCTCACTGCAAATTAATTAATTAATTAATTTTAAAAGGTCAAGCAGTCAAGCAGTATCATTTACAATCACAACTCACTCTTGTGATCATCTGGGATGCTAATAAGATCTCAAGGAAAAGAATTCATTCTGGGGTGAATCCCAACGAACCTATAATCTCTTGTAATATTGACTGAGCAGATAGAAAGATTTCATTTCTACTAAGATTTCATTTCATTTTCATCCCATCTTTCTTTGTGGCTCTCTGAAAGACATTCATACAGTGTGCCAAGGATAGTAATTCGGTGATTGTAACTCCAAAAGGCTTTACATCATTTCCCGACAGAATGACCTGTCTGTCTTTCTCTCCCTTAACAAATTTATGTAGTTATACCTGTCAGAAACAACAGGCTGCTTTGCTTGGCATTTCCCCAAGTTGTACTAGAAGGACCTTGAATTTGACTTTGTTATCTTAGCATGAAATATTTCAACTCTACCGTGAAATGGGACAGAGCAGCCAAAGTTGTGGGGAGAGGCATTCATAGGGTGTGTGTGTATGTTCTGGAAGAGGAAGACAGAGTCTTATCTTTTGCAATATGTCACTGGCTAAGATTTTTAACTTAAATGTACCAATTCCAGCTCACAAGATTTACTTCTTAAAATTATGACTTATTGAGGTACACAAGATGCACGTAAATAAATGAAAATACAAAATGAAGTGCACAAATGAAACCACTCTTTTCTTTTTTTTTCTGTCTCCTAGGTCTGATAGTCAGAGATACCATGTTTGCACATGCCCCTGTGATGTGTATTAAGAAAGTCTTGCCACACGTCAACTCAAGTCATTAAAAGAGGTATGTTCTAAAAATAAAAGAATTCCCTGGTTGTCTGATAAAGACATCCTTTTAATATTTTCTCAATTTAATTCTGCATTTAAGAGTTGTTTTTATAAGAACATGTTGATCTCAGATGATGCCAGTGAGAGTTGCTGCCCATCTTTGGTTCATAACAGCAACTGTTTTGTGAGGATTTTTCACTGGGCAGGGATCTAACTGTAGCCCCCTGTCCAACACACTGTAACTGATGGGACCTCAGTTTGGCAGACAATGCAACACCTTCAGAAAGATGTGAAGTTCCTCAGGTATGCACACAGATTTCACCCCTTGGACAACAGAAGCACAGAAGTTTTTGCCACAAGCTTTGAAAACAGACCCAATAAATACACCTGAATGACGGGAAAAATAGCAAAATCAGTGTCTGGCAGGACAAAGAGGGGCTACTGAAATGACACAAGGAGCTTGTCAAGATGGTAAAAGCTAAGAAATATGCTCAACAGCAAGTGCTGACTGTAAGTACAGTCAAGAAATGACTAATGGCAATCTTTGCTGTGTAAGTATTTTTATAGCAAACCTGAAAATACTGTACAATTTTCATTGTTAAAAAAATACATATTCTGGAACTTCAATACAGGAAACCAAAAATTAGCAAAGTAAAACTTACTTGAATTCTGTAAGTCAATTGACAAGTGGTAGCCTAAGAGGACCTAGCAAATATCAAAATATAATAGAATGCGTGAAACCTAAAATGATAGAGTAGGGAAATTCTGGAGGACATTTAACATGGAGGAATTAAGATCAATGACTAGGTTTAGTCATCAGAACAACTCCTTGAAAAATATTTCCAATTTAAGTGTCATTTTGCTTTCAAATTTATTTTGAACTTGGTTTTTCAAATGACAAAGTATCTGCATGCTTTGCAGTAAATTGAACTTTGATACTAATTAGAGTTGCAGTTGAGTGGTTTTCAGCTGCCATCTGCTTCACCTTCCTGAAATAGATTTAGATTCCACAGGCACTAACATGTGAGATTTGTTTTTTACTGAGTAATGTCTGGACTGTCTGGATAGCCTACAGCATGCTCAAATTTTAGATTTTGGCAGTAAAATGCGTAGGTGCACATGCTCACGTGCGTGTGTGTGTGTGTTCGCCTCTTAAAAATTCATGCTGTTATGTTATCTTAAAGCTTTGAAGTCTCATGAAATCAACATGCTCATTTTAAAAGCATCATTCATATTTTATTACATTTTCCATCTCCAAGATACTGCTTCTAGTCTGGACAGTAGCTTGGGAAACGTCTACCCCTCCCCTTTCTCTTGGATTAAGTGAAGCAAGTGGCTTCCCCAGCGCCTCCTACACATTCCATAAGGAACTAAGAATAAAGAAAGGTGCTGGGTCCTTGGTAATGTTCAGAGGAGCCAGACAGTGGCCAGGCTGAGCGGTAGTGCTGAGCTGATGGGTCTGTGCTACCTCAAGCCTCATGGTCACTCAAGTTCAGCATGGTCTGGAAGATGTTTTTTCTGTGTCCTCATTCTCAGCAAGCTGTACCAAAATAAAAAAAAAAAAAAAAGACTGCAGAGAAGGACAGCAGATTAGCTGCTTCCTGGGGAGGACTTTGAGGTTGCTCTCAGAACTAAGGCTGTGACAAGCAGGGGACCCTGAAATATGGGTCTTCAAATCTAAGCCCCCAAAGATGAGAGGTAGGAAGGCAAACAATGAGCAAATTAGGGTCACGGAAGTCACCAAAATGGAAAACAAATACCTCTTTGAATTCAGGTAGAGTTGACTTTTTTTAAAAAAGATTTATTTATTTATACAAGCACTGGGGTACAAGCCAGAGGTGCAGGAGGGTGAGAGTATTCACCAGAGACAGAGCAGGGAGCAGAACAGGCAGAAGGACCGAAGTACACTGCTGAGGGAAGCAGCTGGTGGGACAGGAGAGGTCTGCTGCGCCATGTGGGTCAGCTCCCTGGCCGGCTGGGAATCGAACCCACGCTGCAGAGGCTGCGAACAGCTTCACAGCGCTGCGCTCAACCCGCTGCACCACCGGGGAGGCCCTAGAGTTGACTTTTAACTCAAAAATCAGCACTTTAATATCCCCAATTTCTCATATTCTCACACCATGTTTCATCACACCCCTGTCTTCCTCTCTACATAAAACTTCAATAGGTTCCAAATGACTTATTTGCCAAAACAAGATTTTATCAGTTTTTGAATAAACTGGTCCTCACAGGAACCCATTGAAGAATTGAGATGGGTATTGAGCAGACGTTCATTTAGCATGTTGTGAGCTGCTTGAAGTGTGCTAGTTGTTCTTCATAATAACCAGTGGAACAGATTCCACAATCCTATTTTTCCAATAGTGAAACTGAGGATAAGAAAGACTAAGTATTCAATCAAATACACAGCAATTAATTCCCCACTGTGTCCCCAACTCCCAAATCTTTCTTCTCCTCTTTTCCATTATGCAATAGTCAGAAAAAATGTCCAGGAGAACTCAGTTTCACCTGAATTTATGTTTGCCTTTAGAGGTGATAAATTCGCAGCCCTCAAATCTATCCAGATCACAAAATGACTATGTGATCTATGTTGCACTGACAAGTATTGGAAGTGGCTGCAAATACTGAAAACTGGGACGGTGTGACACCAAATGTCAATTTCTAGCTTTCCTTCTTGAGAAACTCCTATCTCATTCAGAGACTACAAATGAAGGCCCAATTGGAAAAATCCCAGATCTGAGGTTAAACTTCATCTAATACCATGCTGTAAATTGTGCCAGATATGCAAAACCAATTTAAGAATATGTAGCTGCCTAGAAGGGAAAATCATGCTAACTAAACAAAGCTTCACAATCCTCTGTCCATTGCCACTTCCACCCCATTCCCAAAAGAAAGTCTTTGCTAGAAACAAAAGGGGAACAGATTTGATCATTAAGGGGGAACCCAAATCTCAAGTGACTTAGGAGCTCCTTAATCTTGCCTTGACAGATGCAATCTGAAGTGTTAGGTACTGCTAAGCAGTTGTGGCTGAAGCCTCCTCTTTAGAGACTCTGTGTAATAGCATCTATTACTTTTTCTGCCCTGGCAAGAAAATCCACTGGAGTGTCTCAGCGGTCTTTTCTATCCAAGATCTATGGGCCAAGATCTATGCTTTTTACTGAGACAAAATACCACTTGAGCACTCTTGCACTCAACAGATGCTTTAAAACAAAATCTTCTGCATCCAAAATTGTCCAAATGTTAGAATTATCTGATGATTAAGAAGCTTATCTTCGTGTCAAAAGGAGGTTCATTTCCCATAAGTAAACTCTTAGTGGGCAGGAGGGTATCATTTATAATCCTATATTTAAACACACAGAATTGAATAGATGTGGGAGTTTTTGTTCAAGTAAAAATAAAGATGTTTCCTTTAGTCTGATAAGGGTTAGGCGTTTTCTATAAACCCATGTCTCTGGCCTCACCCTCTATTCCTTTGTTGATTTCGATCTTACGTTTAACATCCTGAACTCTGTCTTCCTTCAAGAACTCTTCCCACTATATTTCATGACACTCATCATTTTTCCAATAAGGACATATCCACTGGCGTCTATGAATCTTTATTTCTCCTCCTGCATCTGGTTGTACTTAAGTGCACTGGAGTTGGACAAGCAGAGCTAGGATCATTTACTCTTAACAGGATGAATGTGAACTCACAGTTTCAACATACCTGAGATTTCTGAGTCTGTGAAATGGGAATAGTACTAGCTCAGATGTTTTATGTGAACATATACTGAGAAAAAGGGTAAATTTTGAAATGCAAATTTTAGCTTTGTGCAAGATTTTTCTTCCCTTTTCTCTCCAACTTGTGACAAGTTTTTAAAGTCAGAGTAAAGGTGGGTCTTCCTTTGTGAATTCTTTACAAATCCACATTAAATAAAATATTTTGTCATTAGCATATTTAATTAAATGGATTTTTAATACAAAAAAACTTTTGGCAAAAAAGTCTGTAAATACAAAACATCTGAAAAAAGAAAAAATGAAGTTAACATTCCATGCTCTAAGCTCTGGCTGAACAACTAAACCAAATGAGAAAGAAATACAAACAAGCCATGGAGGAATCATAATTTATAGAAGTAGAAGGTCAGGGGCAGAAGTTGTCACTTACCTGAGACCCCGCAGTTAGTGGCCTGGCAAAGGAAGTAGCTGAGGCAGATTTAAAATTCAACACTTTCTGCCTCTAAAGTTAATATTCTCTCACCATATCAATAACTTCAGGATGTCCCACAAATTGGAAGATCCTCTTCCTCAATATCGCAAAGTTGATATTTGACATGAATGTACCAAAATACGATTATTCAAAATTCATTATACTCTGCAAACATTCAGAAATCTAGACATTAAGCTATCAATTCTCTGGGACACTGGTTCTCCATTAAGGATGACTTTGATCCCTAGAGTCTATTTGGCAACCTCTGGGGACATTTTTGGTTGTTATGACTAAGGGAAGCAGGTGTAGCTACTGGCAGCCTACTTGGTAGAACCTGGTGATATTGCTAAGCAGTTTACAAGGCCTGGGGCAGTCCTCCAACAAAAATTTATCCATCTTGTAGTGTCAATAGTGCTGAGCTTGAAAAGCCTGAATCTAGAGGCCCCTGCTTCATGGTAAGTGAAATAGTTTGACTAAACTATGGGACAAATTTTATGTCAATGTAACATAAGATTTTATTTTTTAAAACCGACTACAACAGATTTCACCTCAGCTTGACACCTTCACTCTCTCACAATATCAAGTTCGATGTCTGGGATCTTTTCAGGATTGCATGACAAGTTGCTGCTCAAAGGCTCTCGGCAGTAGTAGGGTTGCCTGAGCATAATAGGGAAGGAAAGAGGAGGTTCTGGTGACTGGGAAGCAGGTGAGGGTTAAAGTTCATCCATAGGAAAAGCTCAGAAAATAGCAAAAGGCTTAGAAGGGAAGCCTATTCATGGCAGCAAGCTTCACAGTTTACATCATTAAATCCCCACCATAAGGTTGCTTTAGGC